CACGATCTGATGAACGATTGTGAACTTGACATATTGGCCGTTCCCGAAACCTGGGTATATGATGACTCACCGGCCGAAATTAAGCTTGAGGCTGCACCTACATCGGCACCATCTTAAGAAGCCTGGCACTGGCAGCCCAGATGGTCGAGGGATTGAACTGATTCACTGTGAAGACATCTGCATGAAAGTCCTCAGCGACTCATCAACAATTACGTCATTCCAGCTGCTGCTTGTGAAAAAAACGAACAGCTTGCGGAGGCTTACCACCACGCTCATAAATCCACCGCCGCCCTCACTGCTGTCACAATTCTTTTCCGAGCTTTCCAGTCTGCTAAACTGTAGGCCAATGTGCTCTCGCTATATCATCTGTGGTGATCTGAACTGTCCCGGATCAACTGGTTGGTGTGGTAAAATCAATAGTGATCTCGCCAACTTTAACTACAATCACCGTTTAACCCAGCACATCATTGATGTAACATGTCGCTCGGGAAATATATTGGATCACATCTTCACATCCGCCGATGCCATAACTGTGAAGCACATTGTTATTTAAGATGTGGGTATTTCAAATCAGTCACGTGACGTGCAAAGTGGCATTACAGATTGATAGCCTAACCGTTCCAACGATATCATAGAAAAACTATAAATGACTGGACCACGATGCTTTCCCGTAAGAAGATCCGGTCTTCATCGGCGTGTCTAAATCCTGCATCGACAGTCGATTCATTTGCAGCTCAATTAGAAAATGACATCACTGCTGTTCTTGATGAACTCGTGCCCATCCGAATAAGTACAAAGAGAAAGGGAAACGCGCGCAGTAACTATCTGTCACTGGAGGCAATCGCAGCAAAGCAGTCCCGGAGGTGGCTGGAGCATCTTTGGAAGAACACTGATTTTGAGACTGTGACTCGCTTACAGAGCTGCCTGCAGATCTGCCAAACAACTCATTATTGAGTCTCACAGATCATGCTATGCTCTGCGCTTCAATGAGTCAGCTCGCAACCCCCATGCTCTGTGGCACTTCGTGAAGGGTCTGTTGCACTCCAACCACTCATCAACGAGGCAACCTGGTCTGTGTACAGCACTTGCGACGTTCTTCGCCAATGAAATAGTGACGGTCAAAACGGCAGTTTCTAACTTGAAGTCAACGCATTCTCCCAGTCTGCCATGTGAGTTTGATCATCCTAGAACCAAAACTCGAGACCCTGGCACCAATCTCAGTGGCAGAGGTGTCCATGTTCATCGCACAGCGACCATATAAGACATCGTCACTCGACTACATCTACACGTCAATTTTAAATCATGTTTGGACATGCTTGTACCGCTGATCGTCCAACTGGCAAATCTTTAATTCAGCGAGGGCTCTTTTCCATAATGGTTTTAAATAGTGCAGGTAACACCGCTCTTGAAAAATTTGGCTTGAGCTGTAGTGACCCCACAAACTATTTCCCTATCCCAAACCTGAGTACAATTTTAATGGGCAGATTCAACACATTGCAGTCAGCATACCGGAAGTCCCGCATCACTGAAACGCCTCTACTCAAGATTTCTGATGGACTCTACAAAATCATGGATGGCCGGTGCACCGCAGTGTTGCTTGGCCTCGATCTCTCAGCTGCCTTCGACACCATCGACCAAGACATACTCGTCGTGTGGCTATTTAACGTTGCTAGGGCAGATTGAGTCATACCTACATGTGTAGCGTGTTATACGGAGGCACACACTTGTTCTTGGAGGCAACACGTTTATTACAACACCCCAACAGGGTAACTACATAAACGTACACTGGTTCTACATCTAGGTCAACTAGACCACAATGGGGTAACTACATAACCGGGTCAGTCAGTAACACACTGCCTGACCCACGATGCCATGCGTAAACATCGAAGACCGAAGACCCAGGACCGAGGATCGAATAGACGTAGCAACGACGGGTTCCATTCCAACAGAGAGCCTCGATCGCTCTTGGGACTTCCCTTTTATGCACCCTAGCGTGGCCTCACTCCGTCCTCTGCCACACCCCCTTCTAGAATCTACTAGAAGGCTCTGGGCCATATCACGTGTCCCTAGAGCCCCCTTTCAGGCCCCCTTGCTACCCTGCCCCGGTCACGTACCCTCTCGGGTTCACACAGTGTATCACGTCCTCACTTGCTCTCTCTCTGACCCTCACCAGAACTATGCCCCCTAGGGTCCGCTTCCATGTCATATCCACTCTGGTGCCAGAGAGAGACTCAAGACGTACAGTTCTACTCTTGTGACAGTAGCTGGTGCTAAACACCAGATTGATTCCATATAAGTCACTACAAATGGACCATCAAAGTTAGTCAAGCTAGGTAACTAACTGTCATCGCCTATGCTGTGCCTAGTTGGCCTACCACAGGGGTCCATCCTGGGGCCTTCCTATTTTAAAAATATGTCTCTCCGATCGCCAATGTCATCTCATCGCGTGACATCAAGTTCCATCAATATGCTGATGATACACAATTGTACACAAGAGAGTGACATCAAATTTAGATATCTGCTGGTTGGCATTCAGGTAAAAAACTTTGAGGAAGATCAGGTGTGGCAGTCGCAGAATACATGATTCAGTTTTATATTCATCTAAAGAGCCTCGGCACCATACTCGACTAGAATATGTCGTTTGAGCACCATGTGCAAAATATAGTCAGGTCCTACAATTTCCAATGAAGGGCTCTAAGACACATCCGATCTCTATTGAGTCAACACAGTGACATGTAGCATAGTATCGACAAGGCTCAATTATTACAACTCACTACTCTATGGGATGTCTGGCAGAAACATTAGCAAGCTGCAGCATGTATAAAGTTATTTGGCCCATTGTGACGGATACTCAAAGATCCGACCATGTCCATCCAGTGCTCACCAAGCTGCATTGGCTTCTGGTTGCTGAGCAAATTTATTATAAGGTCGCACTCATTACACACACAGTGCTTGCAACCAATTAACCACAATACCTTACTGATCTCGTCAAGGAGCATAAACCATCACGCAAACGCTGGTCATGCTCGCAGTGGCGTTTGGCTAGCTATCGAAATAAATTGTCACTGCATCACACACTTTCAGATGGGCTTCTGCAGCCATCTCGAATGCTCTTCCTTCCGATATTAGAAAAAAACTCATTTCTTTAGAACTGCCTTTTGTATTTACTTTATTGTACTTCTCACACACCTCCGATTAGCATGGTTGGCTATGTATGGTGCAAAATAAATTCAACATAGAGTACGTACAAATTATCTTCTATGGAGCGTCAATAGAGCACCGATCGAACCATGACATTTTGAGTAGGTTGGTGTATTTGAACGAGCATCAATCAAGCACCAATCGAGCACCGATTGAGCAACGAACAAACTCCAATAGAGCACCAATCAAACACTGATCGAGCTCCAACCATGCACCAATTGAGCACTGATCGAGCACCGATTGAGCTCCGATCGAGTTCTGATTGAGCATCGATCGAGCACTGATCGAGCTTTGATTGAGCACCGATCGACCACCGATTGAACTCTGATCCAGCACCAATTGAGCTTTGATTGAGCACCAATCGAACTCCGATAAAGCTCTGATTTAGCACTTATCGAGCTATGACATTTTGAACACATGCGTCTATGTGACATCCCAGTGATTGAGCAGTGATCGAGCTATTCCATTTTGAATACATGTGTCTATGCGATCAAGTCGTGATCAAGCAGGGCGATTTTTTTAAAATCAGTAAAGTGATTCCTGTCACATTATTTCTGGATCAAATTGGATTATTTGTTGATCGAACAAACCTACTGGTGGATTTTTTTTTACTTTTAGCCCACCCATTGATGCTGATGCTCGCCCATTGAAACTGTTTTCGTGTTATATATTTTCGTTTTGCACACCATTACAGAATAATGATCGTCAACTTACAGCAAATTTGCTAAATAGAGAAAATATGTATTGAATAAATTCAATACAATCTTTATATTTTTGTCTTTTTCATTAAATTACATTTTTATGAACCTGTCATATGACGGCCAATTACAATATTTACAAATAACCACTGATTTTATTGTTAAATTCAAATATCTATGAAATCTTATCTCTGTGATTTTTTATTGTTTGTTGTAACTTGCTGACCCACCCCTCCTGGAAATCTGTGAAAAAGAGCTTTATAGCTCATCGGATTTCTCCAGTCTAAATAAAGATTGTGATTCTAAAAAAACATTTTCGTGTATTGTTTGGTCACCAGCTTGAGACCATCAGTCAACGTGATACCTTAGTTGACTTGTGGGCAACTGTCCAGATTCAAAGCAAGTCACTTAGCTTTTTTCGATTTAAAGCTTTCGTGACTGCAGGGATTCATAATCTTGTTTTTTTCGGTGTGAAAACTACAGCAATAAAAAAACATTTTCTTGCTGTAGTTTTCACACCTGATGATGATTGCTTGTGTTGCAATCGAAACGTCGTAAGAATTTTTATGTTTTATGTTTATTATTTTATTATTTCCCTTCTAAGTCACTTCGCTTTCTTTTTCTTTACATTATTAAATATTCAATATCAGTTGCCTTATTTAAATGGGGCTAGGAGGGGCAGAGCACTCGTGATTTTTGCAGGAAGCATAGCGGCAAGTAACTTGCTGCTATTTATCTCCCAATGCTTCAGTGAATTTCCGCCACTGTCGAACAGCTTGGGATGGACACCTGTGAAAAATAGAATCATAGCTCATCAGGCTTTTCCAGCTTAAAGAATATATCATACATGTTCACCACAAGTACATATGGTTAATGCAGACATGATTGTATTTGGTGTTTGAACATCTAAACATCTGTTTTATTGCCAGAAAGGGTGAAACATATTCTTATTTTTTCATGCTTTGATACTGGAAATCAAGGATCCATATTATATTCAAGCAGAATGCTAATTTTATTGGCCCTGTATTGGATCACACGGTTGGCATCTGTTTAACTCATTGGCTTCAAAACCGAATAACTTTGTATTATTCTAGCCTGTTGAAACCGTTCATTATTATTGACCTCATCACGATCAGCTTCATATACCTTGAGGCATTGTAGGTGTGCACGTTTGAGCATGCTCGCTCTCTACATCGACCCTGTTTGCCTGCCAGCTGTGCAGGAACATCTGCTACCTGTGTGCGGTGGAATCCAGAAAGACAAGAGCAAGGCTGATGCTTTTCGGGCCAACGAGTTGAAGAGCAGAGTGCTACAGCTTGGGTATTACCTGAATAGGGAGTGGCAACCGGCCAACTGCAAAGGACGCAGGTTTCTCAAAGCCGAACAGGTCACCGCATGTCTCCGCAGACGCAACATCTACCTCTTGGGCGACTCCACCGTGCGTCAATGGTACAACATACTAGTGGACTCGGCCATGCCCAGTAAGAGACCCCCCTCCTCACTCACCACAAGCTTTACCCCCAAGTACCAGAAGTATCCTCACACCAGCAGGCCACCTGTTGTCTCGTATCCGCATCGGACTCCTTATATTAGCTATCTGCTGCCATCTAACCTCATCGTGCCATCTGCGCCTGTATCTGCTTGAAACATATAACGTAAATCATAAACTTGCATATTCCATTCATTGCAGTAACATTTTGAAATGTATATAAGATCCTACAAATGTGGTGAACCACCCTGGACACCGAACAAGTCATCTTGGAGTTATGGTGGTGAGCAAGGCCTGTATTGAGTTGAAGTGCCTCTTCCAAACATATTCCCGGACTGAAAACAAGAATATACGTAGATATACATTTTGTATCTGGAAAAGCCCAATGAGATATTATTCTCTATTTCACAGGCGTCTATCCCAAGCTGTTCGGCAGTGGCGGAAATTTACTGAAGCCTGTACATTGGTAAATAAATAGCAGCAAGTCACTTGTTGCACTGCTTGCTTCCTGCAAAAGTCACCAGTGCTCTGCCCCTCCTGGCCCCATTAAAATATGGAAACTGAGATTGCATAATTAGTAATGTAAAGAAAAAGAAAGCTAAGTGACTTACTTTGAATCTGGACAGTTTCCCACAAGTAAACTAAGTTATGACATTGGCTGATGGTCTCAAGCTGGTTCATATACTGGAGAAATCCAATGAGCTATAAAGCTTTTTTTCACAGATTTCCAGGAGGGGTTGGTCAGCAAGTTAAAATAAACAAAACAAAAAACGATAGGGGTGCAAAATAGTGAAAAAAGGTAAGAAAGTAAATAAATACAAATAAATGTTAATTAAATAATTACGTCAGATTTTGCATCATTAAATGCAAGCTTGGGCAAGGCAACAAGACAATAAAAAGTCCCAGACCACACCAAGGCAACACACGCTCCCTCAATAAAATGGCACATTGCCGTGGGCTCAATTATAAAGCATGTTGAAGGACTGACTTAGAGCAAACTATTCTGTGTAAAGCATACAGGAGAGTCGTTTACTGTTTTATGAGAGGCCTAACACGTTCCTTCGGAGTAGTTGGAGAGCGCATTCGTGCACGACAGAAAGCTCGCGCTCACGTGACGCACTTCAACCAATCCGGGAGCATACATGTTTAGGAGGGGCTATGCACGACAGACAAATAATCCCTGGTGGGCAGTGTGGAACTGTTGTTTCTACCTGTATTAAAGTGACTCCATAAGTAGGTTAATGATGTTTTTTTTCCAGGGATAATTCCCGACAAGATGAGTGACCCTCTTCCGTTGTTTGCGTGTGGACAGAGCTCATAGAATAACACATTGAATGCTTCGTTTTTGTTGTCTCTGTTCTCAGCCCTGAAGCAGTTGAACTTGCACATTCCAACAATTCACCAACCTGGACTCGCCGTGGACCCCCAAAACGACATCTTGCTACGCTATATTCCGCATGGTTACCCATACTTCTGTTCCCAGTTGCAGCGTGTCAAGGACTTTCGCCATGTAGCGCTTGAGGTGTGGTGCACAGTAATATTTTCATTTCATATTGCGTCATTCATGCCAACAGCATCCCAGTGCACCAACATGCGCGTGGTTGATCTCAACAGATCTGATTTGGGGTGTGGAACACAACACTGTGGAACAAAACATTGAATTATTTTTTTTTAGATTGTGAGTGAGTGTTCTAATCAGAAGGTGATGGGGATGGTGTTGCTTATATTAACAATAGTTTTGTTCGTTGCATAATATCCCTCTGCATTATGAACTTTTTAGTAATTGTTGGGTCAAAACGCTTTTCCACCAGTCTGACGTCTCGGTGTTCTTTTCCATATTCGCAAGGTGGATGCCATCTCCGGTGGGCCAATGACGGCTGTGGCAGTGTCGCTGGGGGCCCACTTTGTGCCGTTCCCCTTGGTCGACGCTTCCCGGCGGTTACTGAACGTGCGCGCCGCGATTTTACGACTGATCGCACGCAGTCCACAGACGACCATTGTCATCAAGACCATCAATATGCGCGAGACGGACATCAACCTTGCCAGTTTCAGCAACTGGCTGGCATTCCGCATTTGGGCGTTGACACAACGTGTGTTTATGGACCTCCCCGTTGTGATAATTGACGCATGGGAAATGACGGCATCACTCAATAGCTATAATCTACACCCGGCAGAGTGGATCGTGCACAACGAGGTGGATCTCTTCCTGGCACACGTGTGTCCAACATAGTAGCGCTTGAACCGACACGACAGCTTCTTGTCTTTCCTCATTACTTTATTTCGTGTATTTCGCTCAACACTCCTCCATCGAACATCGCTCAACGTTCCTCCCGCTAACACCGATCCACAGTTCTCCTCCACGCTCTCCGCTCGCTCGCTGCGTTCCGCCGGCCTCACTCGCTCCCCTTCACTCCTCCGTCGACTCTCCTCTCCACTCTCTCCGCCACAGTTCGGCTGCTCTTTATCAGCTCCGCCGTCCCACTCCGTCGTAACTACATCAGCTTCTCTTCCCACACTCCAGCCGCTTCCTACTGGCTTGGTCGTCTCACTGTTACTCTACACTTCTCCACTGCTACCCTACACTTCTCCACTGCTACCCTATACTGTTACTAGCTCTGCTGCTCTGACTCTTCCATCCTCTGTCTCCTCCCAGGCGCGAACTCGCTTCTCCTCCGAAAACCCCTGTCTTTACCCCCGAGCCAATTAATTCCCAATTAATCAGGGGCATCCCCTGCGACGCCACTCGCCCCCAGCCCCCGCTGCCACGTGGCATGTTTTTCCAGACAATGCGGCACAACTCTGCGACAACAACACCCTCTCAGCCAATCAGCGCCCTGTGTCCTTAATTACTCCCTGCCACCTGCTACCATCCTCAGACATCACGTCACCTCCTTTGGGACAACATCGACCAGCCAATCAGCGCCCCGTGTCCTTATTTGCTCCCACTGTACGCCGCGTGCGCGCACACCGACTTCAGCATGTGACGTGTATCTCAGGCATTACACTTCCATGAAAAACTCTATTTCAATGAAATAGATTGACATATGATTGACTCCAGCATCTCACTGTAGAATTTATAAATATGAATTATGACGTAGGAAAGAAACGGTGTATTGTAATATGATTGTACCCATGTGCACCTTTCTTTGCTCTCATCACTCTGCATTAAGGTTCCAGGTAGAACTCTCCACAATAGCACAAGTCGCAAGCTTCTCTCTACACCAAGGACCAGGACCGTTCCTGCCTGACGTGATTTCTCCACCGTTTGGAACAGCATCCCACTTCACATTCGTAACATTCCATCAACACCGACTTTTAAGAGACAGTTAAAGGCCCCACTTCACTTGTCTGGCATTCGAGTGACATTGAGCTTGACTCGGCACCTCAGAGTTTTGGTCATTTATGTATGTGAAATATTGTGTTACAAATATCACAATTGTTATTATCAAAAAATGTTGTTATAACGAAATGAAATGTTACATACCTTGCTTACATTTTTTTGGGACTGGGTTTAATGGCAGTGTTCATTTTCTAATATTTCGTAGTTGTGGTGTAAAAGGCAGAGTGAAGGACACATCATGAATAAAATACTCATGAAACATTAATGTTTTTAAGATTAGTCACACAAATCAAATAAATGTACTATATATACTGTTATTTCAAATTTAGTTGAAACATCCAAAGTCATAGAAACAAGTCACGTGTTATTTCCAGAGCAGCAAATCATTACCTTTATTCTGATGGGGGGGGGGGGGGGGGAATATTGTCTCCAAATCCACAACTCTGTTCCAGAGTCCTTGTTGTAAAGTAACAGCATGATCTACATGCTTGGCTGATTGGCACCCTGTAAGGGTTACACTTTTTTTTTATTAAGGGAGAGGGAGGAGTTCGGCTCAATTTTCTCTCACATGCAATTCCCTCAATATTATAGGATACCAATGTGGACGTTTAAAAATGCTTTAATGGCAATAAAAAGATGGACAAATAACTTTATTACAAAGAGTATTAACAAGATTTGAAATGTATTAATTACTAGCGTGAAGTACCCGGCGTTGCCCGGGCGAAAAAGACACACACACATCGACTTACACACATATATGTACTCAAACACACAAATCGACTCACACACCGACTTACACGTGCAAATATCGACGTACACACACACACACATCAATTGACACACATAGACTCACACACACACAGCGACTCACGCACACACATAGACTCACACACACACGGACTTACACACACACATCGACGTACACACACATCGACATACACACACATGGACCCACACACACAGATACATCGACTTGCATACACACATTGACTCACACATAAACTCACACACATCGACTTACACAAACACATATCGACCCCCACATGCACACATCGACTTACACACATATCGACTCACACACACAGACTGACACACACATTGACTTACACACACATATCGACTTACACACACACACATCGACTGATACACACACAGATCGACACACAGATCGACACACACATCGACTTACACACATCGACTTACACACACGCACATGGACTTACAAACACACATCGTCTTATACACAGACATCGTCTTCCACATACACACATATCGACCCACACACATACATCGACTTGCACACACACACAGCGACTCAAACACACACATTGACTTACACACAACAACAATAAGTGGCAGTGATGACACCACGACGCTTGCGCCAGACTATGTGCACGTTGAAGCCACGTGAAGTGTCGAAGGCCCGCTGGCAGGAGGTCACAGGGCAGACCCAGGTGCCACGGGTCAACTGACTGAGATGACTGGTTGATGCACCACCTGTGCTCTCTACTGTGCCAACTTGCTGTGCTTTAGCCCCCCGGCGCTCCGCTCATTGTTGTGAGCGTCACTCCTGTTGGAAGGTGACTGCCTCCAACTGCCCAGTAGCGTCCTTCACGAGCCTACTCCACAGAGGCCGATCTTGACACCGCTGGTACCAGTCATCGGCAAGTTCACTCAGCTCCACATCCACTTGTACCACATCACTCCATCTCTTCTCGAACCCATGCCACGCCCGTTTAGCCCCCTCTCTTTAGGCATGCGGTGACTGGGCATGCGGGTCGACAGGATCCAGCCAACGTAGCCTTGCCTGCCGGAGGAACTCACTGTTGGGACTTTGTCCAGATTTTTCAAGGATTTGTGAGCTCCTCACACAATCCAGCCTGGTTAAACCCAGGATGGATCATAAGCGGGCCAGCCTAAATGTTTCTAACCGACGAAGATGTTCCATTAGGGGGGTCCACTCATCACATGCGTAGAGAAGGGAGGGAATGACCATGGCCGAGAAGACCTGAAGCTTCATACGAAGCGACAGACTAGGTCACTTCCATACAGTGTTAAGCAACTGATGAAAAGATAATGCTGCTCGACTGATTCGGAGTGAGATCGCTGCTGTCGAACCGGAGCCGGTCATGAGCACACTGCCCAGGTATGGGAAACTCTCCACTCTCTCCACAACTGCCCCATCACCAATAGGGAGTTGTGGAGTGGAGTGTCCGATGGTGCAAAATACCCAGGCAAGTGCTTAGTTTTGGTAGGGCTGATGGTAAGGCTCCACCTCATAGTGGCAAGCTCCAGGTTCAGCAGCAGCGCCTCCAACTCCTCCTCTGAGTGAGCGGATGGAAATTCCTCCGGTACAGCCATTAAAGGCTTCATGAACTTCGTGGTCAAAATAGATGTTAACTAATGTGGGAGCAAGAGGAGATCCTTATCGCACCCCAAGGTGTACAGGGAATGGCTCTGAATCCTGGCCACGTCGTTTTGCCCGGGCCTGCTCACCATCATGAAGGTCCTTACTTATCGTGAGCAGCGGATCAGGGACTCGGAAAGCACAAAGAACAACCCAGAGGACAGGCCTATGGATGGTATCATAGGCCTTGACAAGGTCAATAAAGCAGAGATGTGGGTCTTGTTGGAATTTCCTACACCTCTGCTGTAGCAGACGGACAGAAAATATGACATCTGTGAGGACCGCCCTTTTCTAAAACCGCATTGGGGCTCTGCGAGCCTCTCCTTAGCGTGCCTAGAAAGGCGATGTTTAATAATCCTTGCCAGGACCTTTCCCGGCACACTGAGGAGTGAGATGCCCCTGTAGTTGTTACAGTCTGTACGGTCCCCATTCTTAAAGAGGGGGACCACCAAGACATCCTTCCAATCCTGTGGAACCCGTCCAGTTGTCCAGCCTGTTGTTATGATGTCATGTAGGGCAGTCTGTGCACAAATGCCACCCTCCCTCAGCATTTCGCTTGGGAGATCATCTCTGCCCGGTGCCTTTCCTGGTCTCAGACTCTGGATCTCCTTCAGTACTTCCTCAACAGATGGCACCTCAGCCAGCCACTCACAGGGTGTGACTTCTTCTTCCCATATTTGAGGCACTGCAGCCTCAGCAGGGTCATCCCAACTTTGTCCCATGATGTTTTCCAGGCTGAGAGATTTCCCCTCCCCCAGGACCTCACAGAAATGCTCAGAAAATCTGCAAACTTGTTCCTGGGGGTCAGAGATTGGATCACCGTTATTTACCCTAATGATGGTAATAGGTGTGGCACTGCAGGTTACTTTTTTGATGGAATTAAAGAGCGATTTGTGATCGCGGGCCACTGAGGCAGACTCCATCTCCTCAGCAACCAGCGACCACCACTTATCATTGCAGCGCGTCACAGCTCTCCGAACCTCTGAGCAAAGGTTGCGGTAAGCCTCCTCATTCTCCGATGTGGGATGCTGTAGCTAATGAGAGTGGGCCTGTCGCTTTTTCTCAGCTAGCTTGAACACCTCCTCTGTCAGCCAGGGTCTCTGGGGAGGTCTGGACCGTGTACCCAAAGCAGCCATTGCAGCTGCATGAGCCACAGTCCTAAACCTTGCCCATTTCCCCTCGACATCAGGAGGAGTGGGGGACGATGCCAACCCCAGCGGCATGCATCCATGATGTGGTGTGGATGCGCCGATGCCGGAACAGCGTGTTAGTAATTACAAGCCCATGGGCTGCACAAAAATCTAGCAGCCTCGTGTCGTTGTTATTGAGCTGATATGGCCCATGCCTTCCAATTACTCCAGACCAGGTGCCAGCATCATGACCAACTCGGGTATTGAAGTCACCCAACAAGATGACTATCCCAAGGGGCCACTTTAGCTAGCACCTGAGACAAGAGGTCATAAAAGGCATCTGACTCATCGGCCTTGCCTGCATCTCTCCACGGATGTTCGTCTTCAGTGGGGGCATAAATTACCACGATCACCACTCCTCGCCTCTGGTTGATGGGAAGGCGAGCCCAAAGTAGCCTGGGGCTTACAGCTTCCCACACATCACCGCCACGCTCCCACTCCCCCTTCATTCTTTTTTTTAGTAGAAGAGCCACACCCTGTTGTTTGGCAGTCTCCTGCCTCGAGTAGAGGACCGTCCACTCCTCATGGTGGCAGGAGCCAGAGCCGGTCCACCGGACCTCCTGAATATCACAGAGATCCAGGCGGTACCAGTCCAGCTCTCGAAAGAGGAGTGGCAGACTCTCCTCCTCAGTGAGCGTTTGAACATTCCACGTGGCCACATGTAGTGGTTTTTAGTTGTTTCTGGAGGAACTCTGAGAGTAAAGATTAAATCTCCTGGCTCCGCCAAATGGGGTTTGGCCAGTAGACGTCAGAGATGCCTGTCCCCGCGGGGCTTCCGGCACAAGCTTATTTATAAAATGTTGTGGTCGTGGTTCAGTGGCAATTAATTAAAGGTGGAGGGGTTACCAGCCCCTCGCACCCATCCAGAGTCCCCATTTAGCCGCTGTGGTGGTTACAAATGCCATGAGGGGAAAGGCCAATCGGAATTGGCCCTCCACCCACAGCACTGCCCACGATAGCGTTGCCCGTCCGGCACCACAAGGAGGTAGTGGGTTGTTTTGCCGGACACACACACATGGACTCACACACACACACACATCGAATGACACACACACATCGACCTACACACACAGATGAACTTACACACACACATCGACTCACACAAATGGACTAACACACATCGACTTACACACATACATAGACACACACACATCGACTTACACACGCACACACATAGCGACTGACACACACACATCGATTCACACACACACATCGACTCACACACACATATCGACTTACATACACACATCCACTTACACACACACAGATTGACTTACACACACACTTCGACTCACACACACACACATGGACTTACACACACACAAACACAGCGACTGTCACACACACACATTGACTCACACACACATCAACGCACACACACACACAACGCACACACGTATATGGACGCACACGCACATGTCGACGTACACACACATGATTACTTGTGTAGAGGAGTAATATGGGGACGTGGCATCATGAGCGCTGGGCGGTGTGATGACGTCATGTCTCCTCGTGGTACTTAAGGGGGACCCTGTGACTAAAGCGGGGTCATTGTGGGAGCCCGGAATGGAGAGAGGTTGACGAGACAGCCAGGGATAGAGCTCAGGGAGTCTGGAGAGAAGTTGTGGAAGGTGCTGCTTTCCCCGGTCGGTCGGTGTTGGCTGATCCCCCGATCCGACTAGAGGGAGAGAGCCCAAGAGCTAGCCGAGCTAGGGATAGGCAGAGCCGAGGGTCCACGTGAAGGACCCAGTGTAGGGCACCTACCCCTGATAGAAGTTATTATC